TCTAAAAAGATCAATGGAAGAATTTCCTTGGGTGAGGATTAACAAAAAATAAAAAAATTAAAACTAACAGATTTAATAATCTCAAGGAACAATCTAGTTGTACAAATCTGGGTACATGTTTAAAGTATCTGGAAAGAAAAGGAAGTATCCGGACAATTCAGGTCAAGCAAATTTTGGAGGGGAGGAGAGCAATATTCATAAATTCAAGATTTTATGCTTTAATTACCCATACCAATTTTGTTGATGTGGCAGTAAGGTACTTATGCAGATACAGTTAGCTATTTTTCCTAGTTTATTTCCAACTTCTTATCTTAGTCAAAAGAACAGAAAAATGCTTAACAGAAAATAGTTAAGAGAGCATACTATTCTCACCTAAAGCACTTGGGCTACATCAACTTTAAAAGAAAAGAATTTGACCAGAGACATCAGCTGGAGTGGGCTCAGAACAAAATCTGCTTTAATCAGGAAACCTAATCATTCATAATTAGTGATACAGAATTACCATTAACAATTTCAGTGAAGAGCTAATTACATTTATACATGAATCACCTACAGTATTTCAATATCTCAAATTTTACATAAAGTGAATTTCAGACACCTGAAAAATCTATATCCTCGCTTTAACACCTAAGTGACTATAAATTCAAGCCTCCTGAACTAGACATGTAAGAGCATAAAACTGAGAAAAGGAAAAGTTTTAGGGCATAAAAGACTACTTGTATTCGACACCAACAATGGTCTCATTAATATTACTATGAAATGCTACAGCTGCAAAACTGTATTGGACTTTTATTTATTTATTATTATTTTTCTTATCCTCACCTGAGAACATTTTTTTTGATATTTTGTTCAGATAGAGTGGGAGGGAGAGAGAGAGAGAAACATCGACATGAAAGGGACACATTGAGTGGTCGCCACCCACACGACCCAACCGGGGCCGGGGACAAACTACAACCGAGGTACGTGCCCTTAGCGGAAACCGAACCCGGGTCTCTCGACCACAGGCCGACGCTCTAACCGCTGAGCAAAACAGACCAGGGCTGTATTGGACTTTTAAAATCTGGATTTTAACAAGTTTTAAACTTGACTGAACTAGCACTGTGGTCATGTTATCTTCTGTCATCAAATGTAACATCATGGTATACAATTACTGAATGAGGAAGGCTAGAAAGAAGCCTGAAGATGAAATCTAAAAGTGGATTTCTGTATGAAAGGTGATTTTCCCAGTAATTTCTGAGCCAGGGATGAGACTCTATGTGCAAACCGTCTGTATAAACTTATGATCCGTATCAGGCATTGCAACTGGCTAACAAATTCCATAAAGAAATGAAAGTTGTTTTGATAAAGAATATACAACTGAGTACATGAGATTTTATATCCATGAGCTCTATTTAACTATAACTTCCTATACTAACAAGCTCCTTTCCTATTTACTTAAACCAAATGACTTTTATTCCATACCAATCAAATATGACTTTTGGATTCACGACTTGCCCCTAAGAAATATGCCTTATGTTTGAAATTTTATTTTTACTGTATTAAAGCAGTACAGGAAAAACACTACCATATACATGACAAGAAACGTAAAGATTCACAAGCATAAGGCATTCACAAGCATTGTTCAGGAATGTGACTGGTTGTACCAAGTAGGGTGAAAAGAGCTCATGGAAATTAACATATAACACAGATATACAGTAAAAAAATGAAGAGGCAGCCCATGTTTCCACCCCCACAAAACTCCAATATTTCATGATAGGGTGAATACCTGAACTACCAATCTCACACACACACACACACACACACACACACACACACACACCTTAAAAAGATTTCTCAGGACCCGAATTCCATTAGGCTCTTTATTCAGCTCAATCCAATGCCTGGCCCAACTAGATATACGACTAACGTTAACAAATTATCTGCATAAGTCTGGATACAAATTAGTGTTATTATTAAAGGAGGTTCAAAATGAAAAATTAAAATAACACAAAGGAAAATGTTTTTCTTGTTTTTAAATATTTTAATGGAAACATATCTGGTCAGATTTCAAAAACTGGGCTTAACGGTGTTTAAACATTGTGCCAGTATATTTGAGGAGCTAAATAAAGAAAATAAATAAAACAAAAGAAGTATCTATCTTTCAAAAATAAACATAATAAACATTATTCTATAATTATTTCAATTTATTAACCAAGCTACATGGTAAAGAAAAACCATTCCAAATTGTTTTTCACCTCCACAGCAGTGTTTGAAGTTGACGGGCTCTCCCAGATGGCATGGAGATCTTAAGTTGCTCTCAATTAGCCCTCAATTTTTCTATTTTAAGTTAATCTGCCGACCTGTTGTCGGTAAATATCTATAAATTCTGCCGCAGCTGAGAAATATTTAACTTTTCCTTCTAGGGGGTGTGTATGGGTGTGTGTTTGAAGGGAAGGGGTAACCCCTTTTAGCCTTTGATCAGTGTTGACGGTTTTCTAAATAAATGCTTCTTCCTACCCACGGGGCCTTTTTTTTTCGGTCTTTTATGCTGCCTTTTCTCCATCTATTCTGCACTTAAATCCGGGGCCCCCCAATCCCGCCCTGTCCAATCCGATTTGGTTTCCCCCGCGCAGGGTGGCACCTGAGGGCCAAGAGCGAACCCCCGGGGCTGACTCTAACTGGGAGCGAAGAGGGAGGATGGCTGTCACTGGGGAGCAGGCGTGGGCCAAAGCCGAGGTGATTTCTGACTGCTCATCGCCCGGCCCCGCATGGCTGCAGGTCTCCGAGCCCCTCTGTCCGCCCCGGCAAGCCTGGCGTGCAGCTGTCGCAGAGCAGGAAGCTAATCGCGGCCTCTGGGCCGCTTGACATGACAGGCCGAGTTTGAAAAGAAAGGGGCTCACTGCGGCCAGCAGCCTCAGCCCTTGGGCTAAGAGACCTGGAGAGCGAAACCCCTGCCCCGGCCAGAAGGCGAGCGAGAGAACGCGGAGCTGCCGCCACCAACTCAGCCCAGCCCAGCAGGGGCCCGCCCAGGGGCCACTCCCCAAGGGAGGCAGCCAGTCACTCGCCCGCCCTTCCGGGCCCGCTCCGGAGGGGACGGTCTCCGCCCGCCCTCACACACAGCTCCTCAGGCCAGGCCCCCAGGGCTTCGTCCACCTCTCACCTTTGACGACGCGGTCAGCCCCGGGAGGGGGCGGCGGGGGCGGGGGCGGGGGCGGTGCAGCCCGGGCCGGCTCCGGGGCGGCCATGCTGGGCCCGGGGCTCAGCTAGGCGTTGGGCCGGGAGGGGTTGGGGGCGGGGGCGGCGGCTACCAGAGCCAAGCGGCGGCGCCGCCGGGTAACATGGCGGACCCTCTTTCCCTACAGAGGGGCTAAGACCGGCATGCACTGCGTGTGCGGGGGCGGGGGCGGGGCAGACTCTAGGGACTTGGTCAAAATTACTCAGGCTAGAGAAACAGGACGAGGCCAAGGGATCAAGTTAAAATTCCGGGCAGGCAAAAACCTAAGGAAGTAGTGAGGGCTGCCTGCAGCTAGTTGCTGCGGTGATTGAGTGCTAAGAAGCACGACACCGTGGAGCTGCCAGTAAGGTAAAAAGATGAAACCTCAGAATCTCCTACTAATAGAAAAACAAGTGTATAACAATTTGGCTACCAGATCTGGGTACTTTGGTTGGTAAGGGACAAAAGAAATGGAGGCATTGCAAGTTCTACAGAGACGTGACCTTTCAAAGTGGAGTTGGAGAGAATCCGGTTTTCGTATTTAGAGCCTGGAATTGTTAAGACTCTGAAGGCACCGAGTAAGAATGCAGGTAGAGATTAGGCTCCAACGGTTAAGAAATAGGTAAGAGGAAAGTAAGGATTGACACCAAAAGGCATTCCAAGAGTCTACAGAATTCACCTGCAAAGAACACACTTCCCTCTTGATTCATTCAGAAATTAGCAGCAATGCCCTGGCCGGTTTTGCCCAGCGGTTAGAGGTCGGCCTGCGGTTCAGAGAGAACCAGGTTTGGTTCCCGCTAAGGGCGCGTACCTCGGTTGCAGTTGTCCCTGGCCATGGTTGGTCGTGCGGGTGGCAGCCACTCGATGTGTCCCTTTCAGGTCAATGTTTCTCTCTCTTCCTCTCTCTCCCTCCCACTCTATCGGAACAAAAAAATGGAAAAATGTCCTCGGGTGAGAATAAAAAAATAAAGAGAGAAATAAAGAAATTAGCAGCAATAACAGGCAAGTCACTCCATTTTAAGGTACATTGACTCCTGCCTTAAATATAGATGGTTCAACTATTCAATCCTTCAGCTCTTTGGGCCCTTTCACTCAGTGAAAGCCATGCACACACGCACACACACACACACACACACAAGTATACACAAATATTCATATATGTTCACACACATATGGTCTCACATATATGTATGTTTGTGCAATGACTAATTCTTTGGGAGCCCTGGGCCATTGGGAATTGGTACTGCTTATCCAAGCCAGCCCACCCCAATACAAAAGACCAAGAGCATATACAAGGGCTTAAAAAGACAATTAAATGACAAGGAATTAAATAGAACTATCTTATAGATTTATTAATGAAAAATACTTTACAAAAACAGTATGTTTGGCCCTAAAATAGTTCAGCTGACTCTGAGGGTTTACAACGGCAACTGAGCAAGTAGCGGTAATGGCTCTGCTGCTGAGACAGGAAGGTATGTTAGTGTGACTGACTCCATCTGTTCAGGGGGCAAATGTTATGTTGGCAGCTCTGCATTCTAGGCCTAAGGTTTGGGGGCACAGGGAAGGCTGACAGTCTATAATACCTAGGTAGGTGGGCTGCCCTGTGGTCAGGAAAATGACCACAGGGCTGTATATATGTCCCTCCATGAATGGGGGATGGGGAAGACAGACAGGTAATACGGATAGGTAGATAAAACAAAGGATAGAAGTTGGTAATATAATAGAGGAACAGAGAATGAGGGCTCGGGTACAAATAGAGGCATAAAGTATCCAGGAATAAAATGGTGATCTAAGGAATGGCTAGTGTTCAGAGTAATATGGATTCATCTTTAAAGTGGCTCAAATAAAGCCCTAATGAGCAGCTGCCTCCTTTTGCTAGGTGAGTGGAAGTTGGAATTTCAAATATTCCTTCTCAAAGAGCTATGTCACATTAGAGGTTTCTGGCACTCCTAGGAGAAGCTGCCAACTCTATAATGAGATGAGACTAGCCCAAACCTGGCAGGGATGTAGGGTACAAACTGCCACGGTACAGTTTAACAGAGAAATGTGTGGCTCCAGGAAAGGAAAGGGGTGACCCTTACCACCTGCTGTGCTGCAGGGCTCTAGCCCTGATCTGCTCTCTTCCAGGGGCATCTGCTAAAACATACAGAAATTCCTGTTCCCCTGTCCTCCTGTGCCCAGATTGTGGGGCATAACTGCTTTGCCTCCAGTCATCATCTGGGGGCATATCTACTCTTCGAGGACCAGGGGATCGAGACCCTGGAACAGGACCCGAATTCCAAGCTGACCTCAGGGGTACATGAAGACTGCTTAATGGTGCGGACACAGGGTAAACAATGGGAGGATGAAAGGGTGAATGGAAAAGATCCCCCCAGGACTGAGCATGAGGAACATGAAGGCCCTGGTGTCTTTCTGGTAGTGTGGCAGAATGGGTTAGCTGAGGTTTGTACCCTGGAGTAGTCAGGAATCTAGCCCCAATATGCTGGTTGGCCTCTGACCATGGTCCCCAAGAGGAATCTGTTCTGGTACGATGGGGGAGACTCCGGTAGTTCAAAGTCGTTCCTGTATACTTGACCCCTTGGGAAGTTTCACCCCTGTCACACATAGCCAGAAACTGCTGGACACTCCTTGAAGTTCCTGGAAAAAGAAAAGAAACCCAAAGATTAAGCATCTTTAGTAAACCATTCTCCTTCCCACTGGACCATTCCTGGCTGTTTCTCCCAACTCTCCACCCCTCCAAGAGCATACACACAAAGGAAAGTAGGAGCCTAGCTTTGTTTTTAGTTTCATTTAAAAAATCTTAATATACATCAAAATCAAGTCTCTTACCTCCAACCTGGGCAAATAAAATAGTCTCCTGGATGCTGCCATACTTCTACCTCATTCCACTATAATCCTTCAACTTACACACACACACACACACTCACTCTAGAATGGCTCCCTAATATTGTAAATGTATACTCATTGTGACAGCTCTACTCACTTTCTTTTTTTTATCCTCACCTGAGGACACTTTTTTGCATTTATCTTAAGATAGAGCAGGAGGAACAGAAGGAGGAAGACAGAGAGAGAAACATCGATGTGAGAGAGAGAAGAGACATCAACTGGTTGCCACCCGCACGACCCCAACCCGGGCAGGGGATGAACTGCAACGGAGATAGGCGCCTTTAGCGGGAACCAAACCCGGGACTCTCTGGTCCAGGGCCGATGATGCTCTAACCGCTAAGCCAAACCGGCCAGGGCTCTACTCACTTTCTTAACATGGTACCTTCACTCCACTCCTCCTACATATACAATGTGAAATGCCTTTTCTATACATTAATTCCCCTTTACTTAAAAGAAACAAAATAACTAACTTCAAAAATCACTTCCGCCCTGGCCGGTTTGGCTCAGCAATTAGTGTTGGCCTGCGGTCTGGAGAGATCCGAGTTCGGTTCCCGCTAAGGGCATGTACCTTGGTTGCAGTTTGTCCCCAGCCCCGGTTGGGTCATGTGGGTGGCAACCACTCAATGTGTCCCTTTCACGTTGATGTTTCTCTCTCTCCCTCTCCCTCCCACTTTATCTGAACAAAATATCGAAAAAAATGTCCTCGGGTGAGGATTTAAAAAAGTCTTTTTTTAAACATACGAATACTTTGAGAGTAAAGAGCTGCCTTCTTTTTCTGTATTCACTATAGTATTTGGTGCAGAACAGGCTGCAATAAATACTGACTCTAATAGGATCAGAGACCCCTAACCTCTGTCAAAGAAAGCTGGCTAACTGGCTGCTCCACAGAGTAATAGAAAGTCCATCTATCCAGAAAGTCTGCTTATCCAAAGCTCCCTAAAACCTGAATGCATATATCAACACTACTACTTTATCTTCTATTCTAGAACCACAAGGACCCCTCGCTCTGGAGCATTTATAGCCACAAGCCAAGGTTTCTCAACCTCAGAACTACTGATATTTTGGGCTGATAATTCTTTGTTTGGGGGATAAAGGCATGCCAGGAAACTGTCCTGTGCATTGCAGGATGTTTAAGAACACCCCTGGCCTCTATCAGGGGTAGGGAACCTTTTTTCTGCCAAGGGTCATTTGGATATTTATAACATCATTTGCAGGCCATACAAAATTATCAACTTAAAAATTAGCCTGCTATATTTGGTCAGGCCAATTTGGTGAGGTATGTGATGTTAGCTGGTATTGATATCGCTGGCCAGAGGTTCCCCACCCCTGATGCTAGTATCATTCACTTCCCCTTTCCCATTGAGAATCACTGCATTAAACTATAGATTCAGCCTATGAAGAGGAAAATAAGTAAATCTCATTATGGAGAAAGCCAGATGGATGCTGCCCGCCCTCCCCAGGATTGTTCTGATCTGTATACATGGCATGGGTATTCCACGTACAGGGCTTCCCAAGTCTCCCATTCACTCCTTTTCCTCTTAGTCCATCCCTCAACTGAGACTTAGGGGATAGAAAAAAAGAAAACTAATAGAGATGATACTTTCTGTTTTGGAGAAATCCTAAAGACTGGGTATTAACTACCCTTGGTCACTTAAAAGCTTATCCTTTCATGAGTGAAACAGTTCATTTTCATAGGTAGTTAGATTCTGGTTTAGACCCTTAGTCTAAGAACCATATTGTCCAAGAAATGATTCAATCACAATTCATCTAGATCAATGCCTGATCTTAAAGCAGCAATTCATATTTCATATCCCTTTACAACCCCACCATGATACACACACACACACACACACACACACACACACCCCTCTATAGGTGTACTAATCTGAACCTTTAGGTCCCTGGAAAGGTACCACATTCTGGCACATAGTATTAAACTTGGGGAGAGTTACCTGGGGGTCTATGGGACTCCCCTGCCATGCTGGGCATCAAAACTTCTGGGGACAGGAGCTGTGGTTGGGGTGGATAGAGTTGGGGACTAAGGAGAAACACAGGAGGATCATGGATGACAGGGAGGGAAGAGGAGCTGGAACAACGGTGCCCGGTTTCCAAAGCCTTTTTCCTCGTGTTTGATGAATCCTTATAATGAGACAACAAAAAAACACAGAGATGAGAATTAACACACAGCAGGATATGGTCGGGTAAACACAGTGAGGCAAGGAAGGGGAAGATGGAGAGAGCTAAGGTGCAAACATGCCTTGTTCTGGAAAGGGACTCAGTTTACTTAGTCATTCTTCCTGTTAGTCCCGCTAGGAAACATCCTGATCACTATAAATTGGAGACACCAAACTGTAGAGCCTGTTCTCCTGTCTTATAGCCCTCACTTTCCCAACTCTCCCATCTAGGTCTTTAGCAAACTCCTTAATGCTAACAGTAGAATTAGAGAGAGAGAGATAGAAATTTAAAAATAGAGAAGAAATGAGAGAGAAATTCACAGTGTGGCTCAGTGGTTGAGCAATGACCCATGCACCAAGAGGTCACTGGTGTGATTCCTGGTCAGGGCACATGCCCAGGTTGTGGGCCAAATCCCCATTGTGGGGCATGCAGGAGGTGGCCAATCAATGTTCTCTCTCATCTATTTCTCTCTCCCTTTCCCTTCCTCTCTTTCTAAAATATCAATAAAGAAAAAAGATTTTTTAAACAAAACAGAAAGCCTGAGAGATTAAGAAAATAAAATTATATACTCTCTCTATTGGGAACCAAAATATATCTCCTTAAGTGTACAATGAAGAACTACTACTAGATTTTCTCTCCTGTCACTGCTACCTTCCACTGTCTCCTTGTTCACCTGTTGTTTGCACCCACTGATACGACCAGCTCTATATTCCATTAGTCATTCACTTTTGTGGCAAAATCTCAGAAATGTCTCCTTTAACACTTGAAACACTAATATGTCCACAATTGAACCAACATTCTTCCAAACTCCTCCTCCAGGTACCACATTTTTCTAAGTCATCCAGACTCAAATGTTTACATTGCCCTTAATTTTGTACTTTTCATTCACAATTCCATTAGTTGCCTTTGCCCAAGTACTGTCATTTCTACCCATAGGTTTTATATTTCAACTTAACTGGACTACGGCAACAACCTCGGATCTGATCTTCCTATTTCCACTCGAGCCAGCTACCTCCTTATTGTGTCCTGCGAGTTCCTAACATATGATAATGACACTCTTTCTCACTTATCTCCTGCCATTTCTGTGCCTTTTCCCTTCTAATCTTCTTAATGTTCCTCAAACACACCAAGCTCATTTCACTTCAGGCCCTTTACACTTACTGCTTCTTTTACCTGGAACGTTCTTCCCATGGCTCACACCTTTATATCACTAAGGTCTCTAATCAAATGTTACTTCCTTGGAGCCAATTTCCCTCACTATTCTATCAAAAATAACCTAAGAATAACCATTTACCTCATTACTCCTTATCCTCTTGTTTTGTTTTATTCTTCTTTATCACACATTGTCTAGGATTAACTTGTTTATTGTCTTTTTCTCCTAGTAGAATACATTTCTTTTCACTCCAGTATCCCCAGCACCTGGAACATTACAGGCACTAAATAAATGTTAAATAAAATAATCTGATGCCAGTAAGTATATCTAGTAAGTATATCTTACTAGATTGCGAGCTATTCTAGGACAGAATTTGTGTTATTTCATCAGTAGCTCATAGTATCTACCACAGCATGGCACATAGTAGGCATTTACCATATAACCTAAGAACCAAGTCCTCTCAGCATGTGACACCACCAACTATTCTTTTTTTATGGACAGAAGAAAATGGCACCACACTTTCCTATTTTCCCTCCTGTCTCTCTGGTCTCTTTTACTAAGTCTCCTTTTAGAATTCTTCAGAAGAACCACCTTCAATCTGATACTCTTCAGGGATATGTCCTGGCTCCTCTCTTTTTCAATACTGTTTTCCTCTTTTCAATGGCTATGCTTCTCAAATCTCAATTCCAAGCACATATGTCTCACATCCAAAGGCCTACCAGATATCTCCACTCAAGCTTAATACAGGATGGGGCAAAAGTAGGCTTACAGTTATGAGTACACTAAACATATGAGCTTATTCTTGTATTATTATTTATTAATTCTTGTATTATTTTCCATATGAACTGTAAACCTACCTTTGTCCCACTCTCTATATCCAAAATTGTATACACCTCTTTCCTCAAATATATTCTTGCTTCTAGTCTCTAAAATACATCACTATCAATCAACCCATAATTCCTGGATATGGTCTTTGATTTTCCTTTCCCCGTATCTAGGCAGGCGGCCACCAAGTCCTATTGATCTTTGCTTTCTAATTGTCTCTCCAGTATGTCTTCTCTCTATCCTCCCAAACTCCTTAATGTGGTTCGTGATATAACCTTGTTTAGCATGGTCCCTGAGCAAGGATGACATGCAAATTTGTGAAGCGTTCTATATAAAAAAATGAATGAATGAATAAATAAAAATACAGAAGTCAGAAGAAAGAAAGCCAGATTTCCTAAGACAGTAACAATTTGCCATTAAATGCACTAAAGGTGTAGAAGAAATGCTGGGCAAAAAGACCACCTTTTCCAAAAAGAATAGCAAACTGTTCAGAGTTGTTCAGGAACTAATGAACAATAAATTGGAAAAACAACTGCCTCTTAGGAAGAGAAACTGGATCTAAAGGATTGGTAGAACAGAGACTTAGTTTTCACTCTATATCCTTTTGCACCTTTTTATTTTTATACCACATATTTAAAAACTGTTTTAAAATTTTTAATGAACTAACCTTGTGCACAAGGTTCAATGCACTGGTGTTTTGCATCCTGACTTCTTTTGTAATGAAAACTCAACTTGCCTTGGGCAAGTGTGTGAAATCCTCAAAAGGCACATTTATAAACCCAGCCACTTAAACTATTTGAGTTTGTTGATCTCTGCTAACTTGGGTGTCCCTGTCCCTTTCACCTACGGATTACTGCATTAATTATATAAGAAAGGCCTAAGGAGGAGGATTTTAAAATAATTTTCCTTTTTTTTTTTTTTGCTACTGCACATGCATCATTTCAACTTGAAAGCACAATGGACCTCACTCAATCATGTACTGGGGCATGTTCTCTCTCTCCCCCATTTTATGAATGAATGAATGAATGAATGAATGAAAAATAATCATGTACTGGGGCAGAGAGGGCAAAACAACATTCCATCTCACCTCTTTGATTACTGCAGTGGGATCTGACCCAAATCAACAGCCATTGCTTCTCAGAAACTCCTCTCAAGGCTACTAGGACTCTTCTCGCCCTGGGGAACCCTATAATATACCTTGCAGAACTGCTACAGGGAAGGGACATTCCTCTGGGCTCCAACTAAATGTGTCAATAAAGTAATGACTATGTGTCCTCATTTTTGCTGAATATACATGGCTTTCCCCCAAATTACAACTTTCAGTTTCTTCTTCCCCTTCACTTGCACAATATTTTACCTAGCAAAAGAAAGAGGGTGCTCTAAATAGATAGACACTGATTCATTCTACTTACAAAACTGGGAAGAGCCTGGGACCTCCTCCCTCTCTAAGACAAGAGCGTCACTGACATTGCATGAATTGCAGCAAAAACTCTCTGCACTGTACTTATCATCTTCCCCATACTCCCTGCTGGGGTCTTGGGGTAAGGTGTAGCCTTCAAATAAATACAAAGACACACACAGGCAAACATATAACACCAAACCTGTGGTTTTCCCACAGACTGTTCTCAGGGATGTGGGAGAGAATAGGGTAAGACTCACTAGTAGAGACCTGAATTAGATACCTTTGAAAAGTAATGCCCAGGTGGCAATACCCTCTCATTCAAAAGAAGCTCAATCATAGACCTTGTTTTCATCTAATAGCCCATTGTTTCCATACCCCTGCCTTACCACCAATCCAACAACTCATATCTCTGCACAGTTTCTTCTTCCCCAATACACCACCTCATGCTCAGCACTTCAGCACCTGAGACTGTTATCTGAGAAGCAGGCACTGTGCTGGCTTCATGGAGATTCTGCTCTACTTCTGCCTTTGGGTTCTTTGACAGACCAAGGCCAGGGGCTGAGTGCAACCTCCTTCCCATGCCATCAGCAGAGCCTGAGGAGGCAAAGATAAAAACAAGTTGAAGCCTAAATTCTGAGCCAGGAAGCACAAAACTCAGGAGTTGTTTCATTAAATAACAAATATACATCCCTGAATCTAATTGAAGGTGTGTTCCTGGAATGTAGAAACAGGAATTTCAGAATATGGACAATTTCACCCAGCTAGTATGTTTCAGTTGTTGAGTGTTGACACATGCATCAAGAAGTTACCAGTTCGATTCCGGTCAGGGCACATGCCCAGGTTGTGGGCCCGATCCCCAGTCGGGGGCATGCAGGAGGCGGCCAATCAATGTTCTCTCTCGATGTTTCTCTCTCTTCCCTTTCCCTTCCTCTCTCTCTAAAACCAATGAAGAAAATTATTAAAAAAACAAACAAACACACACACACACAAAAAAAACACAGTTTCTTATAGGCCACAAGGGTCTCAGAACATAGGCCTTTAAGAACCTTATAGAGAAGGGGCTCTGTGTAGAGATAGCTGAATGTCCCCATCTTGCCTCATTTCATTTTTTTTTTCACAATTAACTTTGCTTCTGTCAGACTTGGGCCCAAGACTTAAATATATACAGAGGAAATTTTCCAACACAGTGATTCTCTAGGGCATCTGTGATGACAAAGAAACTATTATCTACAGTCTAGTTAGAAAATGAAATGATCAAGTAATCATCTATCAAACCTCTTCATTTTACATAACAGGAAAATTAATTCCATGGTCTGACGGGTAGTAAGTAGTTTAACCAGTATTAAAATTCAAGTCTCTTGTCTGGCCAGTGTAGCTCAGTGGCTGAGTGGCAACCCATGTACCAAGAGGTCGCTGGTTCCATTCCTGGTCCAGGCACATTCCCAGGTTGTGGGCCTGATCCCCAGTTGGGGGCATGCAGGAGGCAGTCAACTGATGTTCTCTCTCATCGATGTTTCTATCTCTCCTTCTCTCTTCTGCCTTTCAAACCAATAAAGAAAAAAAAAATTTTTTTTTTTGTTATTAATCATCACCCGAGGACATTTTCCCACTTTTTGTTCAGATAGAGTGGGAGGGAGAGAGAGGAAGAGAGAGAGAGAAAAAAACATTGACGTGAAAGGGACACATCAAGTGGCTGCCTCCCGCACGACCCATCCAGGGCCGGGAACAAACTGCAACGGAGGTACGTGCCCTTAGCAGGACCCAAACCCGGGTCTCTCCAGACCGCAGGCCGCCGCTCCAACCGCTTAGCCAAACTGGCCAGGGCAAGAAAAATAATTTTTAAAAAAATTCAAATCTCTCAGTGTTCACTTCCTATTATTATAAATAGGAGCTCTTCAGCAACATTTTGTTTTTTGTGGATTTTTTTTTTTTCAATCCTCACCCAAGTATATTTTTCCATTTATCTTCAGACAGAATGGGAGAGGGAGGGAGAGAAAGAGAGAGAGAAACATCTATGTGAGAGAGACACACCAATTGATTGCCTCCCGCATGACCCGGACCAGGGCCAGGGACCGAACTGCAACCGAGGTACGTGCCCCTTGATGGGAATCAAACCTGCGACTCTTTGGTCCACTGGCCTACGCCCTAACTGCTGAGCCAAACCAGCCAGGGTTTCAGCAACATTTTGTATATGTACCACTCTTTTATTTCCATTAGCTTCTCTCAATCACTTAAATTCTAAACAATCACTAAATGCTTATCTCTTCCTCAAAATCTTGCTAGACTGTTAAGAGCTGCTCCAAACTGGATACCTGACTCCCAAGAAGCTTGCTCCAATACAACTAATTAAACCTTCCATTCTGAAGATGTACATGCCCTTGACCTGTATTTGATATATCTATGCCTATCACCAATCCATGTCTTTTTAAAAAATAGGTTTTTATTGATTTTTTAGAGAGAGGAACGGAGAGATAGAAATATCGATGTGAGAGAGAAACATCGATTGGCTGCCTCCTGCATACCCCCCACTAGGAATCAAGCCCCAAACCCAAGCTTGTGCCATAACTGGGAATTCAACCAGGACCTCTCAGTACATGGGACGACACTCAATCCACTGAACTATATATACCAGCTGGGCATCAATTCATGTCTTGATCTGGTATTTTGATTCTGATATATATTATCAGGCTAAAGCATGATATTGCTAATATTAAGTTGGAAGACCAGTTATTTTTAATGTTTCCTGGAGCTTAAATGCAGTGGTTCTAAAACCACCTCAGATTCATCTAGGAGCTTTAAAAAAATACAGCTTCCTGTACCTCTCCATAGATGTACTGAATAAGAATCTTTGTGGTTGGAGCATAGGAATATTTATTTTTTTAAAAGGCTTCTTAGAAAAGTGTGAAAGAATATACTCAGACATTGTTTATGAAACATAAGAGGTTATAGTCTTCCTAAAAAGCAACTAGAGCCCAGCTGGTATGGCTCAGTGGACTGAGTGTCGTCCCATGGACTGAGAGGTACCAGTTTGATTCCAGGTCAGGGCACATACCTCGATCCCCAGTTGGGGGTGTGCAGGAGGCAGCCAATCCATGTTTCTCTCTCACATCAATGTTTCTATCTCTTTCTCCCTTCCTCTCTCTAAAAGAATAAATAAAAACATATATTTTTTTGAAAAGGCAATCTAGAAATAAAAGTTAAAATTGAAAATTTAGTCCTGGCCAGTTTGCTAAAGTGGTTAGAGCATTAGCCCACAGACCAATGAGTCACAGGTTTGATTCGGGTCAAGGGCACGTACCTCAGTTGCAGTTCGTCCTTGGCCCTGGTTGGGGTCATGCAGGAGGCAACCAGTCGATGTGCCTCTTTCATATCGATGTTTCTCTCTCTCTCTCCTTCCCACTCTATCTGAACAAAAATGGAAAAATTTCCTCAGGTGAGGATTAAAAAAAAAAAGAAAATACATTTACCCTCTTACTCAACAATTTTACTCCTGGGAATAAGAAGCAAAAATAGCCCTGGCCGGTTTGGCTCAGCGGTTAGAGTGTCAGCCCACAGACCAGAGAGTCCCAGGTTCGGTTCCCGCTGAGGGCCTATACCTCGATTGCAGTTTGTCCCCGGCCCTGGTTGGGGTCGAGTGGGTGGCAGCCACTTGATGTGTCTCTCTTACATCGATGTTTCTCTCTCTTGTCCTCCCTCTCTCCCTCCCGCTCTATCTGAGCATAAAAGCAAAAATGTCCTTGGGTGAGGAAAAAAATAAATAAAATAAAACCTGTAATATTATCCTCCTCAAAAAACACTGTATGTAGATCTACAAAAGATTTTATAAACAGAAAAATACAGAAATATGCACATTATACTATTACCTGGGAACGAGGGGAATAAAAGATAGGGATTAATGTGATAGGAGGAGAAATAAACAGTAAAATTGTCCGTAAGAAAACATCACGGGATATGATCCCCCTTTGTTTTTTTCATTCCTTACCCGAGGATACTTTTCTATTTATCATCAGACAGAGTGGGAAGGAGGGAGGGAGGAAGACACACAGAAACATCAATGTGATAGAGCCACATCGACTGGCTGCCTCCTACATGACTGGACCAGGGATGGGACGAACTGCAACCAAGGTATGTGCCCTTGACCTTTGGAATCAAACTCACGACTCAATGGTCCACAGGCCGATGCTCTAACCACTGAGAACCCAGCCAGGGCTATGATCCCATTTATATAAAATTATTTCTCTGTTTTTTATTTTTATTTTTTTATTTTTTATCCTCACCCGAGGATATTTTTCCATTTTTTATACAGATAGAGTGGGAGGGAGAGAGGAAAGGAGAGAGAGAGAGAAACATCGACGTGAAGGGACACATCGAGTGGCTGCCACCCGTACGACCAACCAGGGCCGGGGACAAACTGCAACCGAGGTACATGCCCTTAGCGGGAACCGAACCCGGGTGTCTCCGGACCGCAGGCCGACGCTCTAACTGCTGAGCCAAACCGGCGAGGGCGGGCTCTCTGTTTTTAAAAGTTACTCCTCATATGACCATGACGGGCAGTCAGATTTAAGAATTACAGCTGCGAAGATTAAAATCCGGTGCTCCTCTAATCGAGTTGAGCATGATTCCCTAGATAAGGAGGAAGCCACTAAAACCTCCTGAAAGGAGTAGACTCTGATTCCTTTAAAGATATTTAAGCAGACTTCCGGTCAAGATGATGGTGTAGGTACATGTGGTATCGCGTCCTCCCACAACCACATCAAAGTTACAACTACAGAACAACCATCATTCAAAACCACCTGAAATCAAGCTGAGTGGAAGTCCTGCAACTACAGAATTAAAGCAGCAGCCACATCCAGACTGGTAGGAGGGGCGGAGGCGTGAGGGCTGGTGGCAAGACGGGCTGGTCCCACACCCACGTGTGGCAGATAAAAATCAGGAGGATACTTCGGCTGGAAAGGTCCTTCCTGAGGACTGAGGGGTCTCCGTCCCACACCAGGTGCCCCGCCCAGGGTTCCAGTGCCAGGAAGAGAATCCTCATAACTTCTGGCTGGAAAAACCAGCAGGAACTGAGGCTCAGGGAAGCTAACGCGGCTGGAGCCCCAGGCAGGTCCTTAAAGGGCCCGCGCACGAACTTATCGGACTCTCTCCATCTAAGCTTGGAGGGGAGGCAGCTGGAGGGGCACCAGAGACATACAGGGAAGAACTGAGCTGTTTGGCACTGGAGCGAGGGCTGGAGAGGGGGCTTTCTCTAAGACAAAAGTGCTGTCAGAGGCCTTTGTTCCTTTGGTAAGCCCTTCCCTGGGGGGGCAGACAGTGGCCATATCTGAGACTCCAGCAACCTGGCTCACACTGGTAGCCCCGCCCTAGTGACTCCCTGAGGCCCCCACCCACCCAACTTTCAGGCCCAACCAAGCTGTTGCCACTTGCTTAACCATAGGATTGGCCTGTCTTGGATCCTGCTTCAGGTTTTCCTAAATTCTTTCAAACAAGCAGCAGCTGGTCTCAGCGAGCCCCATACCGCTCGTTAAGTAATACACAGAAACAAACACAGGGAGGCAACCAAAATGAGGAGACAAAGAAACAGGACCCAAATGAAA